TTATTTTGATATATCACAGTGAAAGATTTATCGTCCTCTTTTTTTTTTTTTTTTTTTTTTTTTAAAAAAAAAAAAAAAAAAAAAAAAAAAAAGCCTCTGTGACTTGGGGCCGGAGGTGTAGCTCAGTTGGTAGAGTGCCTACCTAGCAGCACAGAGCCCTGAGTTTGAGCCCCAGTATTGCATGGGTATAGTGGCTCATGCCTATAATCCCAGGACTCAGATGGAGGCAGGAAGATCAGAAGTTCAAGGTCATCCTCTGTTACATAGGGAGTTTGAGGCTAATCTCAAAAACAAAAAAACAAAACAAAGAATTCTGTATCTCACTATGAAAAGTATTAACAAGCCATTTGTATTTTCTTCAGGAACTGCATCATACCCTTTACCTATTCTTCTCTTGAACACTAAGTATATACATGTAAATAAAAACAATGAATTTAACTCCTCAGAACGTTTGTGTCTAAGTCAGGTGTAGAGTACACACCTGTAATCCTAGCACTCACAACTCGGAGATAGAATTAGAAGTTCCAGGCCAGCCTAGGCTACAGAGCGAGATCATATCTCAGAACCCCAAGGACTAGGGATGTGGCTCTGCAGTAGAGCTCTTGCCTAACATGGGCAAGGCCCTGGGCTCCCTGTCTAGCACTGAAGACTTTGTGTCTGATCTTGTCACCATTCACAGCCACCCTCAGCCCTCTGGCCACAGGTGTCAGAGAACAGGTGACAAAGAACTGGGTGGCAGTGGGAATCTGACAAGGCTATGGAAGAGATGTTTTGGATCTGGCCTAATTGGAGTGTGTGGCACTTCTTCAGTTGGGGTCGGCATTCAGGTCTCTCTCCATGAGCAACCTATGCCTTGCTGGTACCTATGGCCCATCCAACTGGCTTCTTGAGACTGTTCTGGGCCCTGCTGGTTGGTAAGTGGTTGGGATAGAGGATGAGCTGTCCTTAGAGAAAAGTGACAGGGCCTTGGGCAGGGCAGGACAAGGCAGGGACCGGAGCTGGGTATATAAATAGCCCCTGTCCAGCTGGGCAGGCCTGGCAAGCCCTCCACCCTCCCCCTCACCAGCTGCTGGTGCCAAGCATGCCTCTACCTCCCTTGGGAGCCTGGCCATCATCTCCCATCCTAACTGTAGGAAGTTCCTCAGCGGAACCGAGGAGTCTTGTCCTGTGTGTGGGTTGAACCTCCGGCTGCCTGGAACCTGTCCAGTGGGAGCATCAGAGTGGCTCTTTGGCAGGGGGTGGGTGGTCCTCTTTTTGCCTAAAAGGTCAAGTGTGCTGGTGTGTGTGTGTGTGTGTGTGTGTGTGTGTGTGTGTGTGTGTGTGGTGTTGGGGGACAACAGGAGACATAACTCTTGTGGCATACTTGAAACAAATCAGTTGTCTATGGTGAACGAGATGCAAGAAAACAGGTGAGGAGAGGTTACTTCTGGCTGGGAGCCCATAAAGTCTTTAGAGTAGAAGTGATGGAGAGCCAGAGACAGAGGGGTGTGGGCTGCAGAGAGGCACTCAGGTGCAGGGCTCAGCATCTGCAAAGGTTTGGGGGTATGAAGTAGCTGGTTTCAGGGCACATCTAATCAAAGCCATTCACACTGGGGAGAAGCAGGGAAGGGGGCTCCCAGTGTTGCCTCCCAGGGGACAGGCTCTTCTGTAATGGGGACAAGAAGTGGGTTACACTAATGGATCTGCAGTGGTAGAATGTCAGCCATGGCTGTGTGGGCATGGTTCAGGCCAGGGGCAGAAGGGCATGTCTGTGAGAGCAGCTGTCTTGAAGAATTCAATCTTATGACTACAGCTTCAGGAGCCCAAAGCCATCCATAGATCTGGGACCCATCCCCAGAGGCCCTGGCTAATTACTACAGGATATCTAGATCCAGTCCAGACCTTTGACCAGAGCATCCTGGAAATGCTCCCATGCCCTTCAGTCAGCTGGAACACTCATCTGGTCACACACGACTTTGCTTAGCCCAACCTGTCAGTCAGAAGAATTTGCTCTTCCAGCCTTGTTAGGATGGGGCTGCTGATGAAGGTCTTGGCTGTGTCCTGAGGCCTCTTTCCCATGTTTGATGGGAGGTAGTTCTGCAAATCCTGTTGTGTTCTACTAAGTCAGGGAAATGGATGGGAGGAATGCGGTTGGTGCCAAGGCAGGGACAGAGTATTGGGGACATGGTACCTGCAGTGGCCACCATTCTCTGGGCTTTTTCTGATGTGTCAGGCACTAGACTGCACCATCTACTTCTCCTATGAGGGTTATATCACAGAAGAAACAGATGTGAAAAAGTTAAGGAAGTTTTTTAGATCGGCAGCTTGGGAAAGGCGGAGCTGGGTATGCGCCTTGGGAAGGGGACAGGTTTGGAGGGAAGAGGGAAAGTAACCCAGGATGACCAGCTGTTGGATGGTGAATCAATCTACACTGAACCCTTGCTAGATTTTGCTTTCTAGTGACTGAAGGGTGGGGGCAAGTGGCAGGGCAACGTTTTATGCTGAAAATCCCTGAATAGAAATGGAGAAGAGAAGATGCCCCAACACTAGCTGAAGAATTATTCCCAATAGAGAGAGAGAGAGAGAGAGAGAGAGAGAGAGAGAGAGAGAGAATGAATGCTAGGAGGGAGGCCCAACTCTGGCACTTTGCAGCCCTGCAGACCCAGGCAGGTTACTCCGTGTCCTCAGTTTCCTCATCTATGGAATAGGATGATGGTGATAATGACAGTGTTTACCCCACACACTGGTTGTGCGATGGTTAAACAAGTCCAAGACGTAAGCATTTAGAACTCTGTGTAGCCCAAGCCAGGTGTATAATACATGATGGATGTTTGTTAACGATTTAACCTGTTTGTTACTACACACGGGACAGGGCCATACAGAATGATTTGAAGGGCTCCATTCAGAGCTGTGTGTGCTATGTGTAGTCAGGCTCTGGGCTCACTTATTTTCTCTCACTCCAATATGGGTTCAAGGTTTGAGGATCAGGGTGCAGACAGTCCAGGCTTGAAGCCACCCCAGCTTTCTGGGGACCCAGGGAGGTATTGTCCCTTAGGCAGGGCTCTGAAGTTAAGAGGCCTAGCTTCCAGTAGTAGTAGTAGTTCCTTAGCTCTACAGTCTGAGCTGGCTAATGGCAGTTAGTAACACCCCCACTGTGTGCTGGATTGTTATCAGGCAACTCATGGAAAAGGTGCTGTGTAAAGGGTAGTTAGCCATAATATTGTGATATCGGGATTCAGTGGCTAGTTCATATTCGCTCTTTCTCTCTCTGTGTCTGTCTCTCTCTGAGCTGGTCTTATATAGCCCAGGCTGGCTTGCAGTTCTGACCTTCTGCTTCTATCTTCCGAGCCTTGGGATTACAGGTGTGGGTTACCTCCTGGCTTTCCCTTATTTTCTTCCAAAAGGGCTGAGCTTGGGCTGGGGGGTGCCAAGGAAGAACACTCACTTGGCATGCATGAGGCCCTGCAAGGTAGGGGTAGGTGCCCGTGGGGCTTCCGATCTGGATGTGCCTCCTCAAGATCACCAATCCAAAACCTTCAGCTCTGTCTCTTTATTCCCTCTTCCCAAAATAAATAAAATGGGAAAATGAGGGCCACTTCTCCCCATGGCAGCTGAGCCCAGAGTTTTCCTAAGGCAATAGGGGGGTACTACACTCGATGCTGCCTTGGAGTCTCTGAACTAGCAGAGGCTCTCAGTGTTCCAACGTGAAGGAAAGATGCTGGGGGAAGCAGCCAATAGTGTGTTCTGATCTGCCAGACCTGTCCTCAAGGAGCCTGGGGGCAAGGTAGTTTGCTCAGGAAACTGCAGGATCCTCATCAGGGGACAGGAATGTTCACATTTGAGAACTGATCAGGCCTGTTGCACCCAAAGTGCTGGGCCTACTGTAGAGTCCATCAAATGGTCAGTGTTTGATTCACCTGTGTCCAGCCCAGGAAACTTTTTTTGTGCTTTCTTCTGACTTGCTTTGGAGGCTTACTCTGGACCCTCTTCCCAAGGTTTCCGCATCTGGGAGGGACCTAGACCACAGCCTAGGTTATTTTCTTCTAGATCACTCTGGCCCCTATCATGGGGCTGACCACAATTGGCCTGAAGTCCACTAAGACTCACTGGTCATTTTCTCAACTTCCTCCATGTAATTTCTACTGTCATTTTCTGGGAGAGAAGGGATGAAAACATTGAAATGCCCATAGTACCCTGATTTCTAGAATCCTCAACCCTGTTGCCCACATCTACTCCACAAGACCGTAAAACCCTAAGTGGTTCAAGAATGAAGGGCAGAAGAATGGGGTGGGGCTTGACTAAAGTAACAGGGTGCTGGGCTGGGAAATAAGAGCTGGGGTCTTCCTCCTGCCCCTTAGCTAAACTAGTCCTGAAGCAATCTGGAGCCCTGGTTTCTGGTGAAAAGAGAGTCAGCACTTTAGAAACTTCTAGGGAACAGTAAAGATGGTGGTAGAGTCCCTGGAGGGCAGAGCCCTTGGTGCCATCGACTCTCTGTGGAGACACAAGCAGGCTTTTGGCCAACCATGTACATCCTGGGGAAGAGGTTCTGGGGATCTTGGCCCCCAGTTCTGCAGTTCTAGTCTAGGGTTCTTCTCATGACATGGTACAGCCCCCCACCCCCCAAAGCCCCCTGAGAGGCTCTACTGTTCCTAATCTCCTGCAGGCTGGATGTGCCCATGTCAGAAGGACACTGCCTGAACCAGAGCTGTGCCCTTGTGGGGCACTGTGCCCTGGAGGAGGTCAAAGGCAGCAACATGAAGTGCCAGGCTTCTCGGGGCCATGGATCACCCCCCTCCATCCTCCATGTGATGTCCATGCTGGGCTGCATGCTTTGTATCTACAGTGCCACCCCCCATTGTCTGCCTGCAGGTCCCTGGCCCTGGGCCAGCAGTACACATCTTTGGGCTCCCAGCCCCTGCTCTGCGGCTCTATCCCAGGCCTGGTCCCCAAGCAACTGCGCTTCTGCCGCAATTACATCGAAATCATGCCCAGTGTGGCAGAAGGCGTGAAGCTGGGCATCCAGGAGTGCCAGCACCAGTTCCGAGGCCGCCGCTGGAACTGCACCACCATAGATGACAGCCTGGCCATCTTTGGACCTGTTCTGGACAAAGGTACAGCCTGGGGCAAGGTGGGAGGTGGCTGAGGGACTGGGGTTGGTGGGAAGGGCATCAGAATCCTGTTCCTTTACTTCCACAGTGGGAAACTGAGTTCAAGATCTCCCTGGGAGGATGATAAAGCTGGTGGTGACCAATGCCTCTCCCCATTCCTCATGGAGTGGGTGGGGTCCATCTCTGGACAGACCAGGCTTTCTCTGTATCAGTCACATCTTCCCCAGTGCTGTAGAGGGGATGGGTAGCCCTGAAATGCTGCAGGGTCCTTAGGGGACAAGGCACTGAGGAGCCCATAGCCTTCCTTCCTGGCTGGCTCAGCAGGGCCCAGGCTTTGAGGTGGACATGTGTGACATTTCCCTTATGTTGTGTTAAGTGATATGCAAATACAGCTTTGGGATGGGGCCAGTCCTAGGTATTCCCCCAGGAAAGTCTCCAGGATCTGTGGAAACTGTCTGGAGCTGGCAGCATTGCATGACCCCCAAGGGTCCCCCTAAGAGTTCCTGTCCGTCTCAATGTCCTGCAAGGTAGACATGTCCACAAACTCTGGTGATCTATGGGTAGTTCTCCATCCATTTTGGAACCTAGGAGTCTAACCAGTTGTGTCTCAAGCGGATGAATAGCAATATTTGACTTTGAACACGAGATGTAGGGGAGGGAGGGATGAGTCGAGTAACTGCTCCCAAGATGGGGACTTCCCGGATCCTGGGTTCTTGGTGGAGGTGGACAACTCTTCAAGAACTTGCAGTGTCCAGGAATTTAATGACCCCAGCTGGGCTGGCCTCCGTCGGAATTTTACCAGCCGATGGGGGAGCCTGCCCTCCTTTTAGAATCGGAAATTGGTAAGAACGGCATTCACAGTCGGGGAGAAAAGGAATCCCAGGGTTAGTTGGAGGGCAGCCATTGAGTTTGGGAACGGGGAGCTGACCACCCCCTATTTTGGAGAGGAACCTCCTTTACCTATGTTTCGGGTGCGAAGAGTCTGTGGGACCTACAGGCAAACCCTGGCTATTGTCAAGGGAGAGGAGGGCAATTAGCAAATCAATGGATGATGATTCTGTTGACGCTTCTATTACCAAAGCTAATTATTCCTTGTTTACATAAAAGGTTTGGCCTCTAATTGGGGCCAAGTGGCGGCGGCGGCTGGCTTTTCAAACCTGATCTCGCCGCCGTGTCGGTCTCACCTCCTTCCGGCGCCTCACCTCCGGCCAGGTTGCACTTAATCAAACAGCCCGGCGTCCCGACGCCTCTTCCAAAGCAACACTGGCCTGATCACGCCTCCGCTCAGGACTTGAGCCCCGAGACCCTTCGGCTTATGACCCGATCGCAGGGGCTTTGACTTTTGCAATCACCGCTGTGGGTCCTGCCACTGCCTCGGGTCCCATTGCAAGGGGGCAGTCTGAGCGGCGGGGTGCCAGGGGCGCCGGGCAGAGGCCGCTGGGAAATGAGGCGGGTGGGGTTGGGCTCGGGGAAGGCGACCACGCGCCCTCTGCCCCGAGCTGAGCGCTGTGTCCCGGCCACTTCTGCACCCGGCCGTGCGGGTTCACCGGCGCCCACCGCTTGGAGACCCGCGCTTCAAGGAGCAGCGGGCGCCGCCCGGAGCAGGTGTGTCGCAGCCGGCCGGAAGGCGCGAGGCCGGGGTCCCCGCGGCTCCCCAAGGGCGCGAGCGCAGCCCCCCGTCGGGGGCGC